TCAAAAGTGGACACTGGATATGAATATAACAGATAATCAATATGCAATTTAAATATTTAAGACCCAAACAGCGCCTTTAACCTTCACGTTAATCAAACTTCATTACTTAAAATTTGAAGATTAAAGATATTTTACTTGTTGAAACTTTGTAACTGGGTTCTGACATCCAGTAAGCAATGTTGATTCGACCAAGCCAGACAGTGATGATGAAACCAGTTCCTCTGCCTGCACAAAGGCAATATCATTGCATGAATACGAAAAAAAAATGCATGTTGAAAAATACTTGAATATGGATAAACTGAAACTGTACCTCCTTGTAGCCTATTGCCAACCGTTTAGCATAATCGTTGGCCACGTGCTGTTTTTCTGTGCCGGTGACCGCATCATGGTGTTGAGCAATTGCTAAAGCATCCGCTAATGAATCTGTATTTGGCCCCAAGTTCTTTCGCCCTCTAAGATATTCAAGTTGTCTTGCAGCCTGATGATTTATTGGTATAAAACAAGTATCCGAAAACCAGAAGACTTCAATTACCTTATATAAACTTAAACTATAAATATAAATGCCATACCAAATAATAGCCACTCATTAATCGGACATAGCGTTTCAAAGCTGGCCTACTGGTAAAGTATCCTGTCCAGAAACCATTTGCACGATCTGCATAACTGGTTTTTTAATGCAAATAAGACGCAAAACATCATACACAGAAAAGGAAAAATCAAGAACTATGCAAACATATTATGCAACAGTTACATATTAACTCACGGGAAGAAATCGGCAGTTTTGATTGGCCAAGACTCATTTGCAGCATATTTAGCATCAGTATATATGGATGGTGTGGAATACAGAGCATTGACACGTCCATCCTAAGGTTGTGCACGCACAATCACAAGTCAAATTGTTTCCTTTTTATCTAAAGGATTACTGTTTATCTTTACATTATATGTAACTTTGAACCCTAGTCAAAGAGGGTGATACCTTGTTCACATAATGAATAAGCTTGTCCAATTGCCGGTACCATGTATGTGCGTATTGATACTTAAAATCAGTTCCCATTGTCCACATTATGTGATTTGTTCGAGTTATGTTTGCCTGAAAATAAAACAATGAGGCAACAGTATAGATGTGATCATGCATAGTTCAGCGGTTTGAAGAAATGCACAACTTACTTGTGATACTGCAGCAGCAACAAAGTCATCCACTCTAGCTTGCACATTGTAATCGAACAAATCCATGTTATCCTTCATCGGGAAATAGTCAAAATTTAGCACCAAAATACAACACATAAATATTAAAATAGCAAATTAACAAGTTTTAACAAGTTACTTGAACTATTTCGGAATCATCATTAACTTCAAAATAAAATCCAGAAGGAGGCTCATAGTTCTTAGGGAATGCACCAGCAAAGATCTGGAAGAACACAAAGGCAACAAAACAAGCGCACACAAGAAAATTAAAAGAAGCAAGTAGTTTAAGAGACACCAATCATGATGAAAACGAACGCAATCATACACATCTTATATGAGAGGGAAACAATAATTATTATTGATAGTCACCTGAGCAGACGAGCCAAGGCTCTTGCTACCCTGCCAGATAACCTCAAGACTCTTCTCTTTTTTACGTTTCACTCTATCCTGGTAATCTATCCTACCAAAGAAAAGTGAATCAAAGCCAACCTGCATCCACAGTATGAAAATATACCTGGATGGTTATTTATTTTTCCGAATATGTTAAGCAAAAGATTCTATGGTTGAAAGTTTATGGCATACTTCAGCTCCCAATAAGTAAGCCTGCACAGCAGAATGGCCAAAGGGATCAATTTGCCAACCGATTCTGGGAGTCACACCAAACTCCTCTTTCAGAAATCGGTGTCCAAGTGTAGTTTGATCAATCATGTCTATGTAATGAGGTACTGCCTCATCATGCATACACATGCCCCCATTTCTGTAACACGAAAAAAAAAATGAAAGAAATAACATTAGAATACAAAATGGTGAGAGACATTAGACAGTAAATCATATTATTTGAAACCCTCATAAACATGAAGGATGAATTTGTTCTAGTCATAATGAAATCTTTTTCGGAAATGTGATTTACATGAACTCTAGTTGACCCGAACTAACAAACTGTTTAACTATATTCTGAATAGCTTCACTCTGATCTCTCCACCATCGCTGGAAAAAGGCCTGAAAACAACAGAAAAAGGCATGGAAGGCAAATTAGACACACACAAAAAAGGCCAATTTGTCTCACTAATCCAACTCAGTTGGTAGCTGCAGGGACATCCGATTGCAGGGCGCAAGTTCGAACCGACCACATCACACTTACTCACTTGGAAGGGCTGAAATCCTAGTCATTAGGCTATTATACCAACAACAAAAAAAAGACCAACTTTTTCAGTTACACAGTTTCTTCTATGCAATCAACCAATAACACTTCAATCCAATAAAGATTATCAAGATAGCAATGCAATACATAAAGTATTTAAAACACAATTTCACTTACCATCTCCACATATATAAATTTCCTGTTCTTATCAGCCAATAGAGCATGAACCATAGAGTCCAACACATTTTGCACACAAGCCCCCTACAAACATAAAAACTCTATGAATTTTCAATCAACACATACATTACAAATAGTCCCTAAACTATTGTTTAGAGAAAGATGAAACAAAAAAAAATTAAGACCTGGATAGAATTGTTAGAACCAACATAGTACTGATCAACAGTCTTCAACCACCCAACATCATCATGAGTATGAGCAACCAGATGAACATTGAGTTTCCCAGAGACTATACCCTGCGAGGTGTTATACACCATAAACTTGGAATCTCCTCCATAAAAGAGTATACCCAAAAGGGTCAACAAAAAGATGGTTTTTTTCTCCATAGACGAGTGGAGTGGCATCTTCACACCCCAGAATCGAAAAACGGTTCAGATGCTAAAAGAGAAGATAAAAATAGAATCTTTTAGTTAATTCATGTGCAGAAATGAAAGAAGTGAGTTTCCAGTTGGTGATCATGCACAGTGCTGGCCAGAGCCACTTCCATGTGTTTTCAATAGGTTACAAAACAGGTGATTTTATCAGACACTGTCTGTGTATGATGATAACATGTTTCTTAAATTAGGTTTGTTTTGAGGTAAAATTTTCCTAAATAATTGTCTTATTGTCATGCACATTTGAAATTAAATTTCTACAACAAATTATACATGTTAAGGATGTTTAAATATGTTATTAATTATATTTAATAAATAATTTTCTATTTCTCTTATTATAAGATATATATAATAACTTTTTTTAATATTAAAAAAATTATTGTTGTAGTAAATGTATAAAAATGTGCGTTGTTTTTGCATTACTAGTCTACCCGCATAATATTTAATAATATATTAAAAAAATATGTTTTTTATTATAAAATTAATAGAAGTGATACTTGTAAAACATCTATAGGTATAAAAATAAAATTACCTATATTTACGTATCATTAGACATTGTTGGAATAATATAATATTATAAATATTTTAAAGTACTATATTATCTTTTATAAATACTATAATGTGTTTTTAAATACAATATATGTCTAAATTGTAAAAAACAATACTCAAATGTTTAACATAAAAAAAATTAATAAAATACATAGAAAATGTGTTAATTATATTAATGTATGATATTTATAAAAAAAATATTAAATAGAATAGAGACTAAATTTAGTGAATTGGAAAAAATTAATTTGTTATTTTAAAGTAATATAATATAATAATTAATATAATTTATTTTAAAATTTTTAACTATACAAATCTAATGAATTAGTCACAACCCATACGGACTAGCATTAATGAATAACGGACTTTTCAGAGACGAGTTATAAAAACTCTTAAAAATATGAATTTTAATTTGAAAGCTAAATTCTATGATTTTTCGAACCAATAGATCAGCTCATATAAACTAATTCATTTTAACAGCTTTAAATTCGAATATCTCTGCCCACGATCCATTTAATAAAATTAATTTGTTTAATAAAAATATTTAATAATAAAGTAAAACAATTTCAAAATATTATGTACATATATTTTAAATATTTTAAATAATAAATATAAATCAAATTATCAATACATTAATTATATATTTAATATTCTAAATTATAAAAATAAATAATAATCTATTTAAAAACATCTATACACATGTGTGACACCATGCCCAAAGCATTTTCCATTTGCATTCAGATAAGTGGATAAGATGTAGCTAGATCCAGTCACAAGTGGTATTGCCTTTTAACTAAAAAAAGAAAAGTAAAATATAAGTTTTTGAACTTTTTTGTCCTTTTCCTGAGTCACATAGGAGTACATTGGAAGTTGTGGAATGCAAAATAATAAGACCTCGCTGAGCAAGATCCCATCATGTTACAGTAAAGTTTAAGATTCCAATATAAAAATATTAATTTAATTATATGAATCATATTCAAAAATTTAAACACTCTTATTTTAAAACAAAGAATATACTATTAAACAATGTAATCGTCCTTTTTGTTTTACTACTACTATATTTAATTTATTCACATTCATTAATTGCTGATTAAAACCGTGCTCATTTAAATAAGATGGTTGCCATAACGTTCAAGCATAAAGGGTTATAGTTTATTAATGCAGATGGAAAGTTGAAAACCAATACTACTATTTTTATAATCTTCATTTATTATATTTGAATAATGCACATTGTAGACACAATTATAGCCTGCATATACAAATCTATTAAAATAAGAGAGATTATATTTTAACAACATTTTAAATGGTTAACAGAGTTTCGAAAAACCGCAGCAAAAAACCAATGGAAGAAACTTAAAACTTACTTCTAGAAAGTTTTATCGTGTAAAACTGTTGTATTTATGTTCAGTATAACTCAAGTTACAAAGCTTCTTATTTATTTACAAGCAAATATGCTAAACACACCATTTCCAGCACTACAACAATAAGACATGCATGCTTCTCTGTTGGTTGCTTTGTTACATTGCTACATGATTTTCTGCTGCAGGAACTGTTTGGAGAGGATCAAAGTCAACAAAGAATGTCCGAATCTCCATTGGAGCAAGCTCAACAACAAGCTTTGTAGGATCAACAGGTCCTCCTCTCACCACCTTAGATTCTTCAGTGAAACCCCCTTCTACCTTCCAAACTAGTTTCCTCTTTTCCATTTCACCTCTTTCTTGATTAGCAGATAAACTCATCTCTGTCACTTTACTAATCTGAAAACCCTTGAGTTGTTAGACGAATCCATTACATGCATTAAGAAATTGCTTGGAATGTATTTAGTTATCGCTCTTACCTTTTTGTTAGGGAAAAGCCTTTTCAATTCTACATTTGCAGTTACCGAATAATCTCTGTCCTCGCCAACCTTTACATGTAGTAACACCCAATATTCATAAATTCAAAAATAGGATAAACAGTGTAAGGGAAATTTAATTTAGATAGAACCAAAGATTGCTATCAGTAAATCAGTGAAATATTTACAACCTCGTAAAGATGAGCTAGTCTTAGGAGTACTTTTCCGTTTCCAAAATCCTGCAAAGTATTCATAGAAACAATAAATACAAACCAGAGAAAAGATGAGGTAAAATGTTAAAGGGCATCTTAAAGCTTAAAGATGAGGTACTAAACAGTCTCCCTAAGTCACTCCATATCATACCTGGAGAGTTAGAAGTGCGGTGTTGTTTGGTAAACTGTAGGAAGAGTCTATGCCAGAAAATGTTGGTTGTTGAAAATGCAACCAATTATCCTCATCCTGCAAGACAAGTAGAAAAAAAATTGCGATGAAAGGTTTAACTCTTACATTTTTCTAACTTATCCCACCTTCATTTTACCTGCTCTGTGAAGGCCAACAACAATGGTGAATATAATTCCTGGCCAACTGTACGACGCCATTTAGCACCTTCATCTTTACGGTCAATTCTAAGGTACAGTTTTCCTTGAATCTGGAAAAACCAGATAAACGGTACTAGTAAGAGGCGAGTTGGTAAGCAAAATTTATAACTTTATAATATACTTAATGTATGTTGCAATCACATCATGATCCATATGCAAGAAAATGCTGTTAGATCAATAAAACAAAAAATGTACAATTGCACATAAAAAATATCCAGACATATCTCTAACAAGGTAAGTTAATAAATGGAAACCTTCATTGAGTATCTTAAAAATGTCCTCATATATAGAAGAAATAAACAGAAATCATTATGCAAGAAGCATTTAATTTGTTTGTTGTAAGATGTACTTAACAGTTAAGCCTTCACATTTATCAGCAATGCAAACAGTTTCATTAAGTATCTCTCCAACACCTCTTGCATCATCATGAAGCAACCTCCTAGAACAATATAAAACCAAATTATACAAAATCAGGAAATGTCAATCATTACGCATTCTTTTTTTTCCCTATATAGTGAAGTCCAAAAGCAACTATAGATCAATGTCAAAACAGATGAAGGAGAAATATAGTCCATAGTTGAGCCAACCTGTGAAGCATCAGCTCTACTTGACCATCTACCAAACTGGAACCACCAACTGAACGGTCCACCAAAACTGAAAATTCTGTACCGTTATCTTGCATATATATTCCTAAATTAACCTGAGAATTATAGGAAGCTATAATTTTGTTAAAAATATTGATTTGAAGAATAGTGCAAATGATGAAATTGCATAAATGGTATATTTATGTGACAAGGGAAACATTGTGATCTCAATGATTGGAACTAAAAAAAACAAAAGAACTCAATTTTCCATGAGAATCAAATATCATTTGCTCAGCTAAAACAGAAGCTTGAAATAAATAGTGGACATGCATAAGACTGCACCAGGATGAAGTATAAACAGGAAATAGACGTGTGGATTGTGAGCTGTTGTTTAAATGAAACATACCGGGTAATAATTTCCAGCTACACGTTGGTTCACTTCTAGATCCCAGTCAGTCCTGAAATCTCGAATCTGAAACAATTTTATTTTCAATAAATATAGAAAATTCATTAAGAAAAGAAGGAAACACTGCTAGAGGTTATGATATCTTTCAATAATAACATAACATAGAAGAACAGTAAATAAATTTAACACACCCTTTTGATGAAGTCACGCCCATTAGAATCTGTATAGAATGTCTTGTTGCTCTTCATTGTAGTTGAAAATTGAGTAATAACTTCTTTCCCAATGCCATCATCCACAGGAATAGGCCCAATCTACATATGTATAAATAGATTTAAGATGCAAATCCTCAACTGTTTGAGGCATACTATACAATATGCGACACTATTAGTTGTTTTGACAATCAGATAACAAGGAAGATAACCTACAGTGAACTCAACTTCAGCATGCTCCTTTGTCTTATATATCCTCATAATCTGTCCAAGAAGAAAGCAAAATAAGATCTCCATACTTAAGTTTTATTGAAAAATAGTTGTTTAATTTACGAAAATTTGAGGAGCCGGGAGATGCTACCTAGAGGGAGAGTGGTGTTAATATTAGTAGCGAAAACTCTATTCACAGTAAAATGAAGGATAATTTACCTGAGATACCCATGGATTGAGCTGTTGATGTACTTCATCCAATATCGGACCACGCAGGACAGTAAAAGACGCCTGAACAAGTCAATGCATATGATAAACATATAACTAGTCATAAACTAAAATCATCATTAGATGTTGAATTTTTTAACGGAAAAGCGCGTAACCTGCTGATCAGATTTAATGGGAAACGAGCCATTTGGACGGAATACATATGCCCCAGAAGCCTTAATAAGAAAACACAGTTTACAATCAAAAAATAACATAATTGGATTATGGCAAGATGTATTTCACTACTGAATCTTCTATGTGCATATGACTACCTGAGAATCTTTATCATCCCCAGCATGTCCAGAATAAAAACTGTATGATTGTTCAACTGATGCTGTAACCTTCAGCCATAACCAAAACAAAATAATAAACTTCAGCATTACTAACTTTATGCTTCAATGCAAATTGAAATTCAAAACTGTTATCACATATTCAGATAAAATTTGATCATGAAACATATGTTTAGAAAAACTAATACATTGAGAATGAAAACTTACTTGATTTCTACTGTTAACATAATGAGTCAATTTTCCTTGATTAGCAGAATAAAGAAGCTTTAGATTCCCTTTTCCAACTTCAATGCTATTATTAGTACTTCCATCTGATCTGAACTCCTTTGAGATAGTTGAAACATGACCTTCATCATTTTAAGAGTCATAAAAGTTTGTGAGTTAATAAGTGTAATCTTTCAGTCCAACATTACCCACACAGAGAGAAGAAGAGATAATGTGTCCAGTTATTGTTGATTATTTGTCCCTTATTCACATCTTGTACATATTCATAACTTTATTTCCTCTTTCAATACAGATTTATTGCTTTATTCAGCTCAAATTTAGCAAACTAACAAAGAGCATTAGTCCTTATTAGCCTACTTATTTTGCAGTGAATTAATCAGAAACAATATAAATTCACTCTGAATCTACTATCAGCTGAAAGTTAAAAGAGAAAGCAATATCAATAACCTGTCTGTTTAGGCCTTGAAACTACATAGGTGCTGAAACCAATGGGGGGTACAGATACCGGAAATGCAAGCCAGTACTTGAGTTCCCCAGCAGGAGCTGTTCCTGTATATGCTTTGACGTATTTTTTCCTTATGCTCGAAGTAATATTAGATAGAGGCAAAAGCTGAGACTCAACTTCCTTCCCAGCAGAGTCCTGGACAAAAACTTCTGCAGTGGAAACCTGTGGCAAGTATGTTCTGAAGTCAGTCGCGTACAAGCATAAATCAATGTCTAAAAAATTCAAAACTTGATTTGTCGGAATATCGTATCTAATATGTGTTCTATCTATATTCATTAGCATGCTTATTGGACGATGGATGCATTAGTGCATAGATTTATGAGATAAGAGGGAAGAACAAATCATATAAACTACTACCCAATGTCGCAAAGGTCAGGGAAGCATGATATGTAATTTGGTTTGCGGTTGTTTGGCCTATTTGGATGAGGAGATTTTGCTTTTGAATTCTTAATTTTTTCAACTGGGTTCAGCCTCTCTTTTAAATTTGCATAATTACTTGACACTTCTTGTGCTAAATTTTGATGCTCTAATAAAATTGTTTGGCGAATCAAAAACAAAATTAATATGTACCCTGTAAGAATATAGGAGATATCTCAAAGCATCTTTGATATACTATGTTAAAATATCTTATTGTATTTCCTAGGATTAGTTTCTAATTTTAGAGTATCTTAGACTATCTCCTAGGACTAGTTTCTATATGACTTAGTATATCCCATCATCAATTTAAGTCTTCAACATCTCACTGCGAAGCTATTTAATACACAATAAATCTTGGGCTCCACTGAGGCAAACAAAAAGTTGGAAAGAGCACATCTCGCAACTATCAATGAATAATTATATGTTTCAAGATTTAAAGGTTCCAATCTATAAGAAAAAAAGGATTCCAAACAATAAGAAAATGAACAATGATAATCAAGTGGCTAGCAATGCGTTCACTGTTGATTTTGAAATGATGAGGGAATGTATATCATTTAGTATATGCCCAATAAAAAATCAAGTAAAATACCATTAAAAATACCTACAGGAATTCGAATTACTTCCTCTCTCTTCCAAGCAAGAGGGTTATAAACAACAATCACCTACAAAAAGCACCAATATAGAGAGAAATATGTTAATAAGATACATATTTAATCATACTATAGAGTCATTTAACTTTTGAATGGTTAAATGATGCATTGATAATATGATCAAATATCATCCCTACCATGCTTTTCCCATTAGCCAAAGCAGTTTCTGACGGAGGACAGTAGCTTATGTTAAGAAGAGGGCACTGCCAACATATTCACATAACATATTTAGGATAATATATCAGTTTTCTCAAACACTGTAAGATTTCAGGACTCTGATATCTTGTAGCTGAGCAAGTCTTAGTTTGGGAAGAAAAATGAAGTAAAAGATTAATAATAGATCTCAATAGCCTTTCATAAAGCAAAACCATAAAAAGAAACAGAAAAGCACAATCTGCAAAATTATTTTCAGTAGGTTCCAATAATGTCTCAGATTTATTTATATAAATTATTATGGACAGCGAGATAAAAAAAAAGGAAACCTTATCGGGTGAATAAGGTCAATGCAGTTAAAACTTATCATGGATGAGTTTATTTTGCTGATACAAATATGTAATGAGACCTAAAATTAAATCATTAATTGATTGTCAAGTTGAGATGTAACAAATTGCAACAATATTATGATGGATTCTTGCATCAAAAGAAAAAGGTGAGAAATGTATTTTGACTAGAGTGCACCTGCTGGAAGCCTGTTACGGGGTTCATCACATGTGAACTTAACCTTTGGTTTACCAATAAAGCAAGAGCAGATGCAACCAAGTCTTCGGCCTGTAAATTAAGAAATTATAGAGCACTTCAGTTTACATTTATGAAATCAGAAGTTAAACAGAAAATTATTAATATGCACCTCGGCATAGCCTATTGAGATCCGCTTTGCATAATCAGCAGCAACATGCTGTCTTTCTGTGCCACTAACAGCATCATGGTGCTGAGCAAGTGCTAAGGCATCAGCTAATGCATCAGTATTTGGTCCTGATTCATTTCTCCCTTTAAAAAATTCCAACTGCTTTGCTGCCTTAAACATCAAGAAGAAAAGAATAAATGTCGCCCAAAACAGAAGAATGAGCTACTAGAACTCAGAAGCATATAACAAGTTACCTCGTAAAGTAAAAGAGCCAAATGTTATACCTGATAGTAACCACTCATTGCTCTCACATAACCCTTTAAAGCTGGCCTACTTGTAAAATAACCAGTCCAATATGCATTAGGATGATCAGCATACCTGAAAAGTTGTGTCTTCAAATCAGATTTGAGATCTCAAAATCATGTGTGCCAGCTTTGAAGTGAAGGGGAATGGAAATCTCCTGATAGTCAAAAAACAATTCCCCTGAAAGATTAAGCTTGGCAATCCCTTTTTAGATGTTTATGGGAAGGGAAGTCTCTTCCTCTAGCTTGGTAGTTAAGTTGAATTAGGAGAGACAGCAGCTATATCCCTTAATTTAATTTAAAATAAACATTTTCCCGATTATGTACCTTCTCCTTCCTCCTTTCCTCTCACTTCAAACACAAATCTAGAACTAAGTATCAAAGAAAAACTCACGGGAAGAAATCATCAATTTTAAGTGGCCATTGCTCATTAGCTGCATATTTTGCATCAGTGTAGATAGATGGTGTTGAATACAGTGCATTGACTCGACCATCCTGAGAGAATATCAGTATGGCACAAAAAGCAAGTATGAACTTTAATTCAAAAGATGATAAACCAGACAGACACATTAACGATAATTGTCAAACATAAACTCCATAAAATATTTTAGACAACTGCAAAGAAAGCACCTGATTGACATAGTGAATAAACTTATCCATCTGCCTAAACCATGAATTAGCATATTGATAGCGGAAGTCTGTCCCCATTGTCCACATTATGTGATTCGTCCTGGTGACATTAGCCTAGAAACAAATAGACAACATAGTTCCTAACATCCTTAAAGTATTAATATTCCGTCTCAAACTACATAAAACCAAAATGTAGAAATATATTTTATATTTCCTTGTATTTGATGAGAATTACATATATTGTATTTATAGAATACATAAGGCGGGATTTGGAAGAAAAATCTGACCTAAGAATCAGGGGAATTAATTTCCCATGACTGCTAATTCTAATTACAGAAAGGACCAGGAAATAATAGCTAGTTAATTACATTAACCCTAATCTTTAATGAGCTGTACAAACAGAACCATTTTGATTATGTTATGATTATTCCACACTCCCCCTCAATCTGGATGGTAGATGTCTATCATACCCAGATTGGATCTGATATTCTCGTATATGTTCCTTGGAAGGGCTTTTGCTAGAATATCTGTAGTTTGCTGGCATGATGGAATATGGTTAACACTTATAATTTCATGATCAATTTTCTCTTTGATGAAGTGTCGGTCTATCTCCACATGCTTTGTTCTATCATGGTGTAACGGGTTCTTCGCAATGCTAATAGCAGCCTTGTTATCACATAATATCTTCATGGGTGATTGGTAGGAATTTTGATCTCATTTAGCATTCGCTTAAGCCAAATTCCTTCACAAATACCTTGTGACATAGCTCTGAATTTTGCTTCTGCGCTACTCCTAGCCACAACAGATTATTTCTTGCTTCTCCAAGTTACCATATTACCCCATACTAAAGAAACAGACAATCTGTATTTCTTTGATGATTCGATAAGTAATACATGAAAGGTATATATAGAATACAAGGGACAGATCAATAATCCTAAATCTAGCCTGAGAATCAGAGCAATAATTCTCCCTTTAAATGCTAATTCTAAATATGGTAGAAGACAACTAATTACTAATTACTAATAGCTAATTACTCATATATTATTTACAATGAATGTTGAGCTGTATAATACTGAATCAACAGATTCTGTACTTATCTCTCTAATAACTTCCAACACTCCCCCTCAAGTTGGCATGAATATGTCATTCATTGCAAGCTTGCTCACCATACCATCAAATTGTCTCTTTGGAAGACTCTTTGTGAGAACATCTGCCACTTGACTTGTGGTAGGTACATAGGACATACAAATTTCACCACTGTCAATTTTTTCTTTAATGAAGTGCTTGTCCACTTCAACATGTTTCGTTCTGTCGTGTAGGACAGGATTATGGGCAATGGAAATAGCTGTCTTATTATCACAGTAGACTTTAATTGGTGTTGGGATAGAGACCTTCAATTCCTCCATGAATTTTTTAATCCATAATACTTCACAAAAACCGTGGGCCACTGAGCGGAATTCAGCCTTTGCACTGCTTCTAGCTACAACATTTTGCTTTTTACTTCTCCATGTAACTAAGTTTCCACCTACAAAAGTACAATAGCCTGAAGTAGACCGCCTGTCATTTATATTACCTGCCCAATCAGCATCTGTGTAAGCTTCCACTTGTATATGCCCTCTGCTTTTGAACATCAACCCCTTCCCTGGAGTTCCTTTTAAATATTTCAATATTCTGAAAATAGCTTCAAAATGAGTAGGTCCTGGTGCATGCATAAACTGACTAATTACGCTTACTGCAAAGGCTATATCAGGCCTTGTATGAGACAAATAAATTAGTTTACCGGCTAGTCGTTGGTAGCGTTCCCTATTTACCACTTCATCTTTAGATGTTGTCTTCAGTTTTACATTGGGATCCATTGGTGTTTCTGCTGCTTTACACCCTGTCATCCCTGTTTCTGTGAGTAAATCAAGTATATATTTGCGTTGGTTGAGAAAGATTCCCTCCTTAGACCTTGCGAACTCCATCCCGAGAAAATACTTTAATTTTCCAAGGTCCTTGATATCAAATTCAGCTTCAAGTCTTCTCTTTAGATCACCTATCTCGTTAACATCATTTCCTGTCATGATAATGTCATCGACATACACAATTAAAATAGCAAGCTTACCTTTATCTGAATGTTTAAAGAACAATGTGTGATCTGCTTGACTTTGGGTGAAACCATGTTTCTTAACAACACTTCCAAATCTTTCAAACCAGGCCCTTGGTGATTGTTTTAATCCATATAAGGATTTTTTTCAATTTGCAGACTTTGTCCCGTCCAAGATTTTCTTCAAATCCAGGAGGTAAACTCATATATACTTCTTCATGTAATTCTCCATTCAAAAAAGCATTTTTAACATCAAATTGATGTAGTGTCCAATTGAAATTTACTGCAAGAGAGAGAAGAATTCTGATGGAATTAATCTTAGCAACAGGGGAAAAGGTCTCTTGGTAGTTTATACCATGAGTTTGAGTAAAACCTTTGGCTACTAGCCTTGCTTTGTACCTTTCTACATTTCCATCAGCCTTGCATTTCACTGTAAAGACCCATTTACATCCAACTGCCCTTTTGTTATGAGGTAGATCAGTGATACTCCAAGTATTATTTTTTCTTAGAGCATCCATCTCTTCTTTCACTGCTAATTTTCAATTCGGGTCTCCTAATGCTTCTTGAACAGTTCTGGGCACAAACAAATTTGAAATCCTAGACACATATGCCTTGTGAGTGTGTGATAAATTGTCATATGACAAATAATTAGACATGGGGTGTTTAGTGCATGTTCGAGTACGTTTCCTATCAGCAATTGGGATATTAAGGTCAGGAATTTTTTTTCTCAAAGCAATAGGAAGATTAATATTAGGAAAAGACAAATCCAGTAAATCATTGGAAGAGTAAGATGGATTACCAGATGAAGAACTAGAAGGTGAAGTTTCAGTAGGACCTTCACTTGGTAAATCAGATTGGATTTTTTCCGGAGCAACAATTGGATTTGTAATACCTTTGTGAAACCTTTTTCGGACATACACTTGAATTTGAGGATTATGATCCTCAATCAGTTTTTCTCCCCCTGTTTCAGACATGATATTATCCGACAATTCAAGATTAAGCATTTTGGGTTCTATTATCTTTGTATCTGGATGATTTGTTGTCACAATATCATCCAGTACAGGTAAAGTTTTCCAAAAATTATCTTCTTTATCAACACAATGATTCTCCCCCTGAAGATGATTTTTATTAAAAAAAGGTTGATTTTCAACAAAGCTGACATCCATACTTTCAAAAAAATTCTTTGTTATTGGGTTAAAACATTTGTAACCCTTTTTATTTGAAGCGTAGCTAAGAAAAACACATTTTTCAGCTTTGGGATCCAATTTGGAACGGAAAGTATTTGGGATGTAGACATAACAAAGACAACCGAAAACTTTAAGGGGAAGATCCGCAATGATGCGAGATGTGAGAAAATAATTTTGTAAAACTTGCATAGGAGTCTCATATTTTAAAACACGAGATGGCATTCTATTGATTAGGTAACAAGCAGTTAATAAGGCATTTCCCCAAAGATATTTAGGTACATTCATAGAAAACATAATAGCTCTAGTAACTTCGAGGAGATGTCTATTTTTTCTTTCAGCAATACCGTTTTGTTGTGGAGTATCACGACAAGTGGATTGATGAATGATCCCCTTAGCTACTAGGAATGTACTTAGATATTTGTTGAAATATTCAGTGCCATTGTCAGACCTTAGAATGCCAATCTTAGTTTGAAATTGGTTTTCAATCATTTGAAAAAAATCTTTAAACCTTTGTTCCACTTCAGATTCTTTTTCTAAGAGATAAACCCAACACACACGTGTATGGTCATCAATAAATGTCACAAACCATTTTTTTCCAGACATAGTTTTAATTTTTGAAGGACCCCAAACATCACTATGGATTAAATAAAAAGGTTGCGAAGCAGAATAAATTTTTGAAGTAAAAGATACACGATGATCTTTAGCTAAATGACAAGCTTCCAATGAAATTGTGAGGAATTTATTTCTTTGGCAAATTTTGGAAATAAATACTTAAGATAAGGGAAACTAGGATGACCTAATCTCTTATGCCATAACATAACTTGATCTGAAACGGGAGGTAAACTTGCACTATTTAAACCAAAAAACATTGCATTTCCTAGAGGAGTTTCATCAAAGTAGTACAATCCATTCATCTCTCTAGCAGTTTCAATCGTCTTCCCCGAGTTTTGGTCCTGAAAAACACAAGTGGAAGAACGAAAAATCACTAAACAATTAGTGTCCTTAGACAATTTATGAACAGATAGAAGATTGCAAGCAAATTTAGGAACGTGTGAAACAGATTGCAAAGTAATTTGCTCTGAAATTTTTATGCTGCCTTTGCCTGCAATACTAGAATAACTACCATCAGCAATCCTTACTTTTTCAGACCCAGAACAAGGGAAATAGGAACTGAATAAATGAGAGCGTTTGGTCATATGTTCAGATGCCCCTGAATCTATTATCCAAGGGTTTGAGTGGTTTTGGACAGATAATGCCCAAGAATTCTTACCTGTTTGTGCCACAGTTCCAACAGGAACATTAGGTGATGAATTGAACTTTAGAAGTTTAAAAAGGTGATCCATTTGCTCCTTAGTAAATGGAGACGAGTCAGTCTCATTGGTTGTAGACGTAGGGCGGTCACCAAACCTTCCAGCCTTTCTATTATTTGGCCTACCATGTAGTTTGAAACAGTTTTGCCGAGTGTGACGATTTTGACCACAGTAGTCGCAAACTAAATGATTCTTGTCACCACCTCGTGGATTAGGGAAAGGTTTGTGATTGACTTGAGGAACAACCAATGCAGATCCTTCGACTGGTGGAGGGACAATGGCAGCCTTTTTTCCAAGCATCACCTGCTTGCGACTCTCTTCGCGACGCACTTCAGCAAATACTTCACCAATTGGAGGGATAGGGTTCCTGCCAAGAATTCGGCCACGAACCTCATCAAACTCAATATTTAGACCTGCAAGAAACTTGAAGACACGACGAACATCCACCATCTTCTTGTAGTGTTTGCAGTCCTCGGGTGACTTCCACTCATATACATTGAACAAATCCAAATCTTGCCAAATACGCTCGAGACAATTGAAGTATTTGGTAACAGAATCTTCAGCTTGACGAATTTCTCCAAGCTGGAGAGTTAATTCATAAATTTGGGATTGGTTGTCCAAATCGGAATACATCTGAGAAACACTTTCCCAAAGATCTTTTGCAGTAGCATAACAAAGATAGTTTGCACCTATCTCTTCAGTCATGGAATTGACTAGCCATGTCATGACCATGGAATTTTCAGCATCCCAACTATCGTAGTCTGCACCTTCCTTGTCTGGTTGTTTCTTGTCTCCAGTGATGTAGCCAATTTTTCCTCTCCCCCTGAGATACAAATGGACATACTGTGACCACCGAAAATAATTAGGACCGTTCAGTCGAATTGTTGTGATCTGAACAGGGTGATTTTCATGGTATGTCCTGACAGATTGAGGTATTTCAGTTTTAGGTGAAGAATGTTTGGGTGAATGCTGGGACTCGGTATCAGACAAGTGATCAGACATTACGTGGGATGGAAAAAAAAAACGGAAGCAAAAGAAGAAAAAAAAACTAAGGAATTCTTCCAGCAACTGATACCATAAAGAAACAGACAATCTGTATTTCTTTGATGATTCGATAAGTAATACATGAAAGGTATATATAGAATACAAGGGACAGATCAATAATCCTAAATCTGGCCTGAGAATCAGAGCAATAATTCTCCCTTTAAATGCTAATTCTAAATATGGTAGAAGACAACTAATTACTAATTACTAATAGCTAATTACTCATATATTATTTACAATGAATGTTGAGCTGTATAATACAGAATCAACAGATTTTGTACTTATCTCTCTAATAACTTCCAACACATACAAATGTGCAGTAGCCTGTAGTCGATTTCCTGTCAGATAAACATCCTGTCCAATCAGAATCGGTGTAGACTTCAATACCTCTGTTTGAGTTCTTTTGAAAATAAAGTCCTCGGCCTGGAGTACCTTTCAGGTACTGGAGAACTTTGTTCACATGTCTCATGTCAGTTTCAGTTGGATTTGACATATAACGACTAGCCATGCTTACAGCAAAACCAATGTTTGGTCTGGTGTGAGTTAAATAGATTAGTTTTCCGACTAGACTTTGATATCTATCTTTATTAGCGGTTACATTCTCATCTTCTCTCCTTTTTATTTGCTCTATGGGAGTATTGGCAGCTTTGCATCCAAGCATACCTGTTTCTTGAAGTAAATCCAGAGTGTACTTCCTTTGAGAAACTGAAATCCCATTCTTTGTTCGTGCAATTTCCATCCCTAGAAAATACTTGAGTTGTCCTAAGTCTTTGACTTCAAATTCTTTTGCTAGAAGTTTCTTTAACTGGTTGACTTGTTCATCATCATCTCCCGTAATTACGATATCATCAACATAGACAATAAACAAAGCTATCTTCCCATCCAAAGAGTGCTTGACAAACATAGTATGGTCTATTTGACATTGAACAAAACTATCTTGCTTGACAACTTTTGTTAGTCTATCAAACCATGTCCTTTGGTGATTGTTTGAGGCCATATAGAGACTTTCGAAGTCGACACACCATGTTGGAGGTTTCAGGTGATTCAAGTTCCGGAGGAATTCGCATATCTAGTTGGTGTAGGGGTCAATCTAGATTTGCTACCAGAGATAGTAGAACCCGGACAGAATTGAGCTTCGCAACAGGGGCGAAAGTCTCCTTATAATCCACCCTATATGGTTGTGTGAACCCCTTAGCAACCAACTGGTCTTTGTACCTGTTTATACTCTCATCAACATTGTGCTTAATTGAAAATATCCACTAGCATCCTACTGCTTTCTTCCCTTCTGGTATAGCATTGATCTCCCATGTGCCATTTCTTACAAGTGCTTGAACTTCTTCTGTTACAGCTGCTGCCCATTCAGATTTCTGCAATGCTTCTTGAATATTATTTGGAATTTCGATGTTGTCAACAGCTGCTACAAAGGACCTGTAACTTTGTGATAGTTTTCCATAGGAGATATATTTTTCAATATGGTGTTTCGTGCAAGTTCTAACCCCTTTTCTCATAGTAATAGGAATATCAATATTTGTTGTATCAACATGTTCAGAGTTAGGAAGAATATTACTTGTGGGAACTTCATTTTCTAGAGTTTGGTTTGGCTCATGGCTTTGCATTGGAGCTATGCTTGACTCTACCTCCTTCCTCCTCCTTTTATAACAAAAACCCTTCCAATTACCTATTTTTGGATCACAATCCTGTTGAGATGTGGATGAGATTATAATTGGTCTTGTTTCTGTCACAGCTTCTATTGTCCTTTCACTCGGCTGAATGTTAGAGGTTTGGTCTGGTAATTTTCCAGCTGGTTTAGGCATAGGTTCGGCTAGTTCAAGAGGCAAAAGTTGGTATTCTGAAATTTCGATATGATGTATGTATGATTGCTCCCCCTGAATACCAGTTTTGGTGTAATAGGGTTGATTTTCAAAGAAGGTTACATCCATAGTGTGGTAAAAAATTTTGGTACGGGGAGAGTAACACCTATATCCTTTTTGGTGAGGAGAGTAACCAAGAAAAATGGATTTGATGGACTTTCAGTCTAATTTGCTTCGGTGAGGGTTGAGGTTATGGACAAAAGTTGAGCATCCAAATATTTTTAATGGAATAGAGGAAAAGATTTTGCTGGTTGGAAATAGGTTTTGAAGTGTGGAGAGGGGGGTCTTAAAGTTAAGGATACGGGAGGGCGTTCGATTTATAAGGTGAGTTGCTGAAAGGACAGCTTCTCCCCAAAAGTGTTGTGGGACATTTATGGCTAACATGATTGATCTAGTCACTTCCAAAATGTGTCTATTCTTCCCTTCTGCTACTCCATTTTGTTGGGGAGTGTCCACACACGAGCTTTGGTGAACAATTCCAACCTTTTGAAGATAGGAATTTAGAGCAAGGTTGTAATACTCACGACCATTGTCAGTTCTAAGTATCTGAATATTGCTTTGGAATTGTGTTTGTACCATCTTATGATAAATTTCAAATATTCTCCCTACTTCTGATTTTTCCTTCATTAGAAACACCCAGGTGACACGTGTGTGATCATCAATAAAGGTGACAAACCATCTCGAGCCTGTAATGTTGTGGACTCGTGATGGTCTCCATACATCACTATGAATTAATGAAAAAGGTTTGGAGGGTTTATAGGATTGGGGTGAGTAATGGTTTCGGGTATGTTTAGGCAATTGGCAAATTTCACACTGAAAATGTTCCTTCTTTTTATTGAATAAAGAGGGAAACATTTTTTCCAAATATATGAAATTTGGGTGGCCTAATCTATAGTGCCACATCATTACAGGATTATTATCACTTGAAACTACAGCTGCAACATGATAATTATTCCTGAGTTTTTCTTCTGATTTTTCCACTTGAAGGAGGTAGAGTCCAGCACACTCTTCAGCATTGCCAATCGTCTTCCCCGATTCCAAAGCCTGAAATTCACACAAGTTAGGGAAGAATTTAGTAACACATTTCAAATCTCTTGTAATCTTGCTAATAGACAGCAAGTTACAATCCAGTTTAGGCACATACAAAACTGAGTCAAGTGTAATATTTGGTGAAATGATAATTGATCCTTTACCCATGACCTTAGAATGTGTACCATCAGCTATTCGAACATTATAGTTATATGGACATGGAGAATAACTATTAAAAAAAGTAAAATCTCCAGTCATGTGATCTGAAGCCCCTGAGTCAACAATCCATGATTTTCTTTTTTCCTTACTAGTGTTTAGAGCATGTAAGTAATTACCTCTTTGAGCCATTACGGCAGTATCACCTTTTTCTGCAGTTAACATGGTTTGCTAAAAGAGTTTTTGAAGAGCCTCCATTTGTTCTTTGCTAAAAAGAGATGAGTTAGAGTATATCTCAGCTTCTTGATTGTTAAATGATGTGTTACCTCTGCCCTCCTTGCCTTTGAACAATTTGGTCTCTGAAGGTTTTCCATGTATGATCCAACATGTTTTCTTTGTGTGGTCTGGTTTCTTGCAGTAATCACACCAGGGGCGGGTTTTCTTTTGTGGTGGCCGAGGCTGATTCCCTCTTGCTGCCATTGCAGAGCTCTCGCTGTACGGAACTGAGTTGCGTGTTCTCAACATGATTTTCCTCTTGCTTTCTTTCCTTCTCACTTCTGAAAAGGCTTCTCGAATTTTGAGAAGTGGTTTGGTTCTAAGGATCCTTCCACGAACTTCATCTAGGTCCTTGTTTAGTCCTAATAGGAATTTGTAAATCCTATCTTTTTCCACCAGTTCCTTATACTTCTTTTGATCTTCTGTACAACACCATGTAACCTCTTCATATATGTCGAGTTGCTGCCAGTGTTTGTTAAGTATATTAAAATACTCAGTAACAGAAGATTCTCCCTGTCGAAGGTCGTGAAGAATGCTTTTAATCTCAAATACGACAGATGTATTGTCAACATTTGAGTATGTTTCCTTCACTGCATCCCATATCTCTTTTGCAGTGTCATAGAACATGAAATTTTCACCAATTTCATTTGTCATGGTATTGAGCAGACATGACATTACTTAGTTGTTCTCAAGTTTCCATTTCTGAAAGTTTTTGTCTCCTTTTTCAGGACATTTAGAATCTCCTGTGGTGTAGCCTTCCCTTCCTTTTCCTTCGAGGAAGATCTTGACTGACCTTATCCATTGGGTATAGTTTTGGCCATTTAATTTATGGCCTGTGATGAGGTGAGTGAGCCCTTCGTGTGAACTGGTCGGAAATGATCCAGACTCCACTTTGAGTGATTCATCAAATTTGGGATCTTCCATAGTTTGGCGGCGCTGGGTTAGGGATGGTTCAGATCGTGCTCTGATACCATGTAGAAATATATTTTACATTTCCTTGTATTTGATGAGAATTACATATACTGTATTTATAGAATACATAAGACAGGACTTAGAAGAAAAATCTGACCTAAGAATTAGGAGAATTAATTTCCCATGAATGCTAATTCTAATTACAGAAAGGACCAGGAAATAATAGCTAGTTAATTACATTAACCCTAATCTTTAATGAGCCGTACAAACAGAATCATTTTGATTCTGTTATGATTATTCCACACAAAATAAACAATTGGTATGAAAAAAAAAATTTAGTATCATCGCATTATGAGGCCTTTTACGGCCTCTTTGGAATGATCTAGCTTTTCAAAAAAGCTCGGGTGCTACATGTTCAATGAAAAAACTACCTTGCTTAAATGTTAATCATTCTTCAGGGTCTGTTTGGGAGGGGCATTGGGTGAAAATCCAAAACCATTCTGCTTAATTTTAAAAACTCCCAAACAAAGGTCTACCTTTTCAATAGCCTCCCCCATACCCTCCAAAGCCCATTTCCCAAACAAAGCCATGGAGTCAAAAGGCTCCTACAGTTTCTTAAAATCAGTATAAGTACCATTGACAAAAAATTCCCAAACAAATATTTTGGTCTTTTTCTATAAAAAAGCACCCAATTAAAAGCAACTACATTCCTAGTTGACTAATTAGAATATCACTTCCGTTCTTTTACTTCTAAAGTGAAATAGAGCTGTCAATTAAAAAAGAGATGATCTAGCAAGAGAAGGGGGTTTCATAGTCAGCGAAACCTCACCTGAGCTAAGGCAGCAGATACAAAGTCATTGACTCTTTCTTCAACATTATAGTCAAACAGTAGAATGTCATCCTTCAATAAATTTTATATGAACTTTAGAAGAGGGGGAAATAGAGTATTAAATGTTTCTTCCGTTAAGTTCTTAACAAATAAAAGATCTCTACCTGAATAGGAGAGGAAACATCATGTACCTCGAACGTGAAACCATCAGGAGGATCATAATGCCTGGGAAATATCCCAGTAAATATCTGAAATTAAGTTAACCACAATAATATTTCTTGCAAGAACTGAAAATAAGGAAGAAAAAAAAATCTTTTTTTAGTAGACACAATATCATTAGGCAACTTACTTGTGAAGATGAACCAAGAGACTTGGAACCCTGCCAAACAATCTCTAGAGTTTTCTCCTTTAATCGCTTGGCTCTATCTTGGTAATCGATTCTAGCAAAAAAGAGGGAATCGAATCCTAGCTGCAGCATAGACACAACGACATAGACTTGAAAATTCATAATGACACGCTGCAACTTTTATACAACTGTACAATGACTCCAGTTATAATAGTATTCTAATTTTCAAGTTGTCAGATCTAGTGCATTCAAGCATGTTACATCAACAAGTAGTAAGAAGCAATAACATAACATTATCATACCTCAGCTCCAAGCAAGTATGCCTGAACTGCAGAATGGCCAAACGGATCAATCTGCCAGCCAACTCTTGGAATCTTACCAAACTCATCTTTGATGAACTGATGCCCCAGAGTGGTCTGATCAATCAGGTCAATGTAATGAGGGGTGGCCTCATCATGCATGCTCATAGCACCATTTCTTCAAAACCAAACACAAACAAAAAAGAAGAACAATAATATACAAACCAGATTCAAAAGCCTTCAAGTCACTTATAACCTATGTATAATCATTAATCAGCCTTCCTTCCACCAATATACTACTACTACAAAATCACAAGTCAGAAACATTGGAACACAATCAAACGGATTAAATCCCAAAACCCGATCAATCGAACCTAAAAGATAAACCGCCTGATCTTCATCCAACGGTTCTGACTTACTAATTATTGCGGAAGTTGACAATCTAGGTCCAGTCATTAGCTAATGTAATGTTACACTACAAACATGAATTAGATTAGATTACATGAATTCGAGTTGACCCGAGTTGACAAGCTCTTTGACTTTAAGTTTCATAGCTTTACTTTGCTGTCTCCACCATCTCTGGAAAAATGCCTATATACATTTTTTGAATTATCAAAATTCAAAACAACTCAGCATCCAAATTAAACCCTCCAAAATCAAATTCCCTCCCTAAAATTTTCATAACTTGAGTATTTAATTATTATTATAGCAAATTACCATTTCAACATATATAAACTTGCGATTTTGATCCTCCAAAAGTGAGGACATCACAGAATCAAGCACGTTCTGCACACATGCACCCTACACAGCAACACCAGCAAAAAAAAATGATAATGAAATTTAGCAGCAAAAAAACACTAAGAAAGTGAGAGACATTAGACATACACGAATGGAGTTGTTGGATCCGACGTAGTACTGATCGACGGTTTTAAGCCAACCAACATCATCGTGGGAGTGAGGAACCAAGTGAACATTGATTTTGTTGGGGACGATTCTGTGTGTGGTGTTGTACTCTATGTACTCCGATTGCACTGCATATACCGCAGTCATCAAAACGGCGAATAGCACCGTCGTATCGGCCGTTATCATCGTCGTCACTGCGGTGGTTTGGTTCTATGATTACTGAAATAGCAAGCTTAAGTTTGAAGTTTGAAGTGTAAGGGAAGAAATAAAAGAACAACCCCACATTATACTTAATTAAATTGATTCATTAATTTAAAACTTAAGATAACGCTAATCATGAGATAAACATGAATAATAAAGTACTTATATATTTTAGGGGTTGTTGGTGAGGACTAAGAACTCAAGAAAATTATACTGTAAGATACTAGTGAAACTATTCAAATAATTTTAATTATGATGTGATAAAATTGTCTTTGGATTTGATGGATAATGTACTTTTTGTGATGTTTTTTAAATAATAAATATAGTCTGATAAGTCACGATTTACTACATTTAAATATTATGAAAGCAAATTTGAATGAGAATGTTGGTTTAAATTTAACTATCAGTCCCTCCAATTACATTTAGGTTATGATTAGGAATTTGGAGGATTTTGAAAAATACAAAGGATTCAGTGAAAATAGTTGAAAGATTTTGTTTACGAGGGTTTTGGAGAGTTTTTCCTTTTTTCATAATATCAAAAAAAAACCTTATTTTGGAAACTCAAAATTTGAATTGGACGAGAATTTTGGGACTTAATCAATTTGTTCAAATATAATTTTTGTTGTTATAGTATTTCAAAAACTAAAAATACATTAATGATAAATATTATTTTATCATTCTAAACAAAAAAAATTAATGTTAAAAATTTCATTATATTTTTTAAAAAAATTATTTTTAGAAGTCCTCCTCTCCATTTTCCTCCACTGTGTACAGAATAATCCATTTATAAAAAAATATGTTTTGTCAGGATAAAATTCTTTATCCAGAAAGTGAGTGTATCATAACTATTCATAAATATTATTTTATAAATAATTAAAATCAAAATCAAAATTCAATAAAATCACGATTCACTGATAGTGTATAACTGATTTACGCTGTCAATCTATAACAATTAAATTCTAAAAAAATAGATGAAAAATATTAAAATTAAAAGTATAAATATACCAAAACAATTGAGAGATGTCTACGGTCTAACATTAATAAACACAAGACAAGTTAGATTTTTTTTTAAATAAAAAATTCAGAATTTTTTATAAATCTATTTAATTAAAAAAGACTAGGTCACAGGCCATAAATTTTTTTCAACCTATTAGACCGTGTATTTAAATAAACATGGATAAATTTATTTTTATCATTATATTGAATTTGTATTTTGCATTAAAATAAAAAATAAAGTTTAGTTATTTTGCAAAATTTATGAAAATAAGTTGAAAAAACCTTATTAACAATGTCATAAGTTGTTTTTAATAATTTTCTTAAATAAAGTAATATAATAAAACTTACGTTAATACGTAAATTTAAATAAGTCAATATAAACAAGTATTTAGCCTCGTTGCTCTTTAATTTGTTAATCTATTTAAACATTAGTTGAATTGCTAATTTACAAATCTCTAATATGAAATAGGTTTTTATGTAAGCTAATAGGTCAATAAGGCATTTGAAAATGTCAGACTCAACCCTAAAGATAAGTTTATGATAGGCCACATGTCAAATTTAACCTTTGAAATTTCGAGAATTTCTCTTTCCATCCTATAGTGAAAAGAAAAACCTTACGCAATTCATAAAATGCCCCTTGAAATCGGAAATATATTTCTGATGCACATCATACACCACACACAAACAAATAAAATATGGTTTCACCCTATTCTAAAGACAAAAACGGAACTGGAAATATAGTTTTGGTTGCATCCAGTATTGTATTTCTAGTTTGTATAGCAGGAAGATTCAATTTGCCTGTCACCTTGTCATTTTATATATAACCAGAAATATACTTAAGATATTATGAAAAATACATCTTACTTAAAACAGTAACCAGCATGATCAAAGTCATTTCTTCATCTTTTCATAAACTCTCTCAAAACTCTTTCATTCTCAATCCATTTTTTCACTCTAAGCCTTTATTGTTGTGGTTCACCGTATCAAAAAGAGCTCAAGGAATTGGAATTTAAGGTAAAGTTTATTCATTTTAATCCTTATTCTTCACATTAATTTGCTTTTCATCTTGAAAAAGGTTACGCTAATATCAGAATTATATTTCCAGTTAGTAGTTGAACTTAACCGAAAATCTCATAAAAGTATTTTCAAAAGAGCCTGTATTAGCAAACCACCTCCTACACTGACTCCACCAAAAATATCATTCATCGAGGAGATGTCAGTTTTTATGCATAAATATATTGAACGGATCGTTAATGTCGGTAGTGACAGAAACTGTGGTTTTCGAACTGTTTCTGGTTTACAGGGTAAAGGGGAAGACGATCACCAACTTATTTCGCGATACTCTTATTAGAGAGTTAAGGAGAAATAGAGAATTATACAAACGGGTGCTTGGGACTAAAGAGAAAGTTAAAGAGATTTATGGCACGCTAGTATCTTGCGTCAGTGGACATGCATCGGAGCATATATGGATGTGTTTCCCTAAGATGGGTCATCTCATAGCAAATATGTATGAGAGAGTGTGTATTAATCTTACAAGATACAGTTTCTCAAAAAAAAAATTCTCACTGCACACTGCTCCACCACTAAATCTCAATGATCGTGTCATATGTGTTGGGTGGGTTTCAAATCTGCGCCATTTTATTCAAGTATATTTGAAATCAAGATGTCCAATACCACTTACATCACTGAAGTGGGCGAATCATTACACAATCTCTTTCGAGACCTGGCCGGACCAATTTATTGAAAGGATGCAAGACTACGACAAGTTGAACAAAATTGAAATAGAAGAAGAAAAAAAATAGGGAAAAGTCAAAAGAGGTAGCACATGTGGATTTGTCCAGTGAGAATTATTTCAGATCATTTAAGTATTTAGGGATCATTTTATTATATATGTCATTTTTTCAATGTATTATGTTGTGGAATATCATCTTTCAATACATAAAGTTTTTGTTTTTAATTCTATGTATGCTTCTATTTTTGTTTCTGTTCTGGTTATTAGTCCCAGGGGACTTACTGAAAATATGTTTCCGGTACATATTTAGGTGGAACCAGAAATGAATTTACGGTTTAGAGTCTGTCATAGGATAGGATTTATAAGGTCCATGTTTGTCTTAAACTACTATAAATAATCTCATTTGGCATATTGTTTCATACCAAAACACCAAAAACTATAATGAACATCAAATGGTATGTTGGAAATGTTCACTTTATCGGTGATACTATTGGAAATCCATCGAAACTTATGATGAATTTCTACCAATCTTGACGAACAAGATTGATATCACCATACAATGATAATGAATTATATGAAAAGAAAAGAAAGAAAGAAAGAAAGAAAGAAGACAATTATTTTCTGCAGAGTTTCTCTCTGCCCACAAACTGTAAAAACTTTATTATTCACTTACAACTGCAAATTCTGTGAATACAATAAATTGACTTGATTACAAAAATAAGGGTTACTCCATCTATTTATAGATTTAGGTTAGCTTGCTCCCTAAGTCAAAATCCAAAACTATAAAAGCCCAAAATACCTATTTTGGAACTAAATCAAATCTATCTATTTTAGATTTAAATCAAATCTATCTAATTTAAATCTAAATCAAATATGTGTGTAACAAACTGTTTCCCCACTTCTAAATCAAATCAAATATTTTCGACACTCCCTTGTCTCCGTCGAACAAACTGCTTCGACACAAGGAATTACTTTCAACATATACAATATCACGAGAATTAAAGTTCACCGAGTACACCCCTCTTGAAGATCTTCAATACATATTGTAGGACCTGCTACCTTATGGCGACAATCGCAAAGTTATGAAGATCGAGTATCGCTCGCCATCCATTGACAAAGATGGGAAGTTTGAGTTCATCAACCGTGAGCTGAAGAACAGCGTTGATATACGGGCTATGTGGAATACTTTTACCTGTCTAGAAGGAAAAGTTTTGATCGAACTGAATACGACTATTTCAATATTGGTCGATGATATTATCAAGATGTTGCAACGTCTACCTGGATGTTGAAGTGTAATGTTTGATGTATGTTTCAATCCTTAATGTATTACCTATTTTATGATATGAATTATATTTTGAATTTGTGAAATTGGTATTATTCAAGGCTATTTTTCTGCTCTTTTTGTAGCACAAAATCGGAAATGTAAGTTTGAGTACAAACTGAAAATGTATTTTCTATTTTCAGGGGCATTTTTGTAACTTCGCATGGTGCGGTAGAAAACTATAGAGTGGGAAAAGAAATCCTTGAAACTTTTAGCAGAATAGACTTTGGCTTGTCAAAACCTAGTTTGACCCAACTTATTCTCACTCTTAATTAAAATGACACGGACGCCTCTTTAGTTTTAAAACATACACTGACATTCTCTAAAGTCTATTAAAATTACACTGACACTCTCATCTAGTTTTTAGTGATAGACAAAAACTGTAACTATATGTATGACATTTATTTATGATTTTTAATCTCTAAAAATCTCTCTCTCTCTCTCTCTCTCTCTCTCTCTCTCTCTCTCTCTCTCTCTCTCTCTCTCTCTCTCTCTCTCTCTCTCTCTCTCTCTCTCTCTCTCTCTCTCTCTCTCTCTTCTCTCTCCTCTCTCGCTCTCTCTCTCTCTCTCTCTCCTCTCTCCTCTCCTCTCTCTCGTCTCTCTCACACCACACACACACACACACACACACACACACACACACACAATCATTTACTTACTATATACATTTGTTGAACTTATTCTTTGATGATCGATTCATATAATTTTTTCTTTAATTGTTAAAGTTCAATTTACTTTGTTGATTTGCTTATAACTAATTTGATTGTAAGTACTTTTACACATCACCAAAGCTCAAAGGAAAATCTGAAAAATTGATCGTGTACCAAGTGTTCGATAAATTGCTAAGTTTCGTTTTATACATAGTTTCATTGGAAATAGGTAATTGTTGTGATTTTTGATAAACGATTAATTGATTTATAGTTGTGTTTATTTTTT